GGAAATGTGCAATGATCTCAGCTCACTATGGTTTGAGTGATGTCTTTGATAACCTTACTATTTCACTATGTAAATTTACAACATTATTGAATCCACCTGAGGTGAGTTCCTTCATGTCAAATAATAGCACTTAAAATAAATATAAAAAATAGTCATCTCATTTTTTACATGGTTTTATCATACCTACCATTTATGATACAGTATTTGATGAGAAAAACGTATTTTGAATTAGTGACTAAGCTCATTATTGGCTCATTAATATTCATGAGGGACCATTCCTCTCATTGGGCTGGGGAGATCCCTGAATATGATTGGTTTATGGACTCGATATGACTGTTTGTCTTTTTGATGAAATTTTTGTTCTCACAGCTACATGCATTGGTAGACTTATCTGAAAGGAACAAACTCTACAAACTAATTTTCCGCTAACTAAGTTACTAGTACTTCACACCACAGACAATCTTTTATCAAAGGGTCATACTAAGTCGTTTGTCTATCTAGTGCTTACATGACATTGTTTTTCTTCATTTCCTCTTTTCAGTGTACTGAGTCTCTGCCTATCGCCTTTGGTTCCAATGTGAAAGCCCAGCTAGCAGCCAAGACGGTATTTGCCTTAGCCCATAGACATGCTGATATATTGAGGGAAGGCTGGAAAAATATCTTAGACTGTATGTTACAACTGTATAGATCGAAATTATTACCTAAAGTCATGGTAGAAGTAGAAGATTTTGTTGATCCATCGGGAAAGATCTCTCTCATAAGAGAGGAGCTTCCTACTATGAAGTAAGTACTATGTATCATACTTTAGATTAATTGCAGGTCTTATGCAGAAAGGGCGGCAGTCGTCGCGCTGCGCATGTGCGACATTTGTGTTGATAAACATTGATTTTCCCACAATCCAATGTGCTCTTCTAATGGAAATCACAAATATGAGGTTTGACCTGGGCGCGACTTCACTTATTTCACCCGGTGCCCCATTTGATACCTTCCAATCACCTAAAAATACTTAATTAAAGCTTGGTAACGTCTCAGTTTGTACTCGTTGATCTGCGCAACAGTCAAAGTCGCCATCTTTCTTTATATGAGACCTATATATCCCGCGATGCGTGGCATGACGACTACCGCCCTTTAAAGTCACACAACCTGAAACTTTCTGGGGGTGTTATAACAGTGATAACTTCAGATATTACAATATTTTAAATTGTTCTTGAATTTCCATGACAATTGCTTGCATGTTTTCTGGGAAATTCGTGTTTATAATAAATTTATTCCCTGAGGAAAGTAACAGGATGTGTGACCTGTCATGCATAAATCAGCATAAATTAAATCTAGTGAAAAACAATACTGAAGAACTCATGGTGAATTGGTGAGAATCAAAAAACACTTTAGTATATGTACTAATGTCTGGTGTAATACAGGGTCTGTTCTTATTGTCAGTCTACAAATGTCTCAATCAATTGATTGATATATTGCAATATGCTAAATACTGTATTTACGAGAACACTGTGTACTTTGTAGTATGATTATAACTTAATGTCATCATTTATTTGTTGAACTGTTTCTTAGTAGAACCGACTCCTCAATCTTCAGTTCCTTCTATCAGTACATTACGTTGAATCCAGAACCAGCCAATCAGAGAGGACCTACAGCTGAAGACCAAGAAGCAACGCAACAAGCTCATTCGTGCATTAAAGTAAGTCATTCAGAACAAATAAAAATGTCTCCATGGAAACATAGACCTGTCAACTCAAAATTTGAAAACGTGGAAGTTTATGAAAACAAAATATTTTCAGTATCTGACAGTGAGGGCGCTGTTGCATTGATCCTGTTTCTGTAAAATGTCACATATAACAAGCAAGCAAGGCTTGGAAGATAAATGAAACAAATATACTGGACAGTTATTTGGTTAAAGATTTGACAACAATTTAACTGTTATTCGCATTCTTTAATTATTAATTTAATTATTGATACTGTACTACAAAAGTGTTACTGCAAATATACTGTAAAATATCTTGAAAAAGCCACATGCAATTTTAGCGAATTGTGTTAAAATGAACGTAATAGCGAAATGTTGATTTAGCGAATCTCTATTGTCATTGTTGATTTCCTGTTTTCACAATACTTGTCTGTCGCGTGCCAAAACAAATATGCAGTTATCACCTCCATAAAAACAAAGGAAAACTGTCAAGTGTAATTAGGAAGCGTCCCAGAATTTATGTTTCGGATTACTGTATACAAATCCCAAAGCCTTGGCCATTTTGAATTTATAATAAAGTCATTAGTGACATCTTGAATTAGCAAATCAGTTCTCTCGCTAAATTCGCTAAAAAGACATGCTCGCGAAAAAGACATGTTTTACAGTAGTTTATGTGTATCCTTGGGGGCGGAGCTACGTCACAGACGTTCCACGTTGCTAAGACGCGCACCACTGTACATGCATTTCTATGGGCTATGTGTGCGCTGCTGTGGAACGCCGGTCGAGCCGGTGAAAATTCGAGAAAACAACACAAACTCAACTTTGAAGTAATT